TCAGCTGTTGTCTTTATCCAAAACACAGCAGATTATATGTGAATTGCACGCATTGACTTCCTGGAGTCTTTTTGTCAGACCAGTGAAGGCTCCACTTGGTTGGATGAACCAAGTGAAAAATTGCCAGATAATTAGATAATAAAAAAATGTTGAAGTTATGTGCATCTTTTTTCCCCCTCATTGTTCAGAAACAAATATTGATCACTACAATAAACAATAATTATTTTCCTGACACATTTTAATGCGAGCTGATTATTTGTATTTGTGTGTTCTTTAATTGTTAGGTGTCACAAACATTCATGAGGTCCTTTCCTTCTACATGTTAAAGCAGCACCACAACATAGGTCATAGCCAGATCAAAGGCTGCCACAATATGCTCCCACCTTCTGAGGGTCAGCAGCAGGTAGTTAACATAGCGGACACGGCACACATGAATCACACACTCAGCATGTTAAGTTGTTGTTCCAGGGTCAAACACACTCACTCTTCAGGGAATAGAACTTTGTTTTTGCAGAGGGGAGCCCATAAGACTACAGAGGGGGAGCTTTATGCTGTCACCCTGATGACGGACTATTATTCAATGTGCCTGGACTCCAATACCTGCTCTCTCAACTTCAGAGAGGATCGATGTGTGAGGTCTTTGAGTGCCAGCATCTCAGATTGATGCACTCAGGAGATAAATACTGGTCAAATTACTAATGAGATTTGATTGAGATTCTGCAGGCAAACAGACTGCAGCTGCCAGACACAGGATGGCAAAAAAGTTTTGTGAAACATTTAGTCTAGAGACTATATTTTCTGCCCTTTTCTGAATCACTTTTCTGACTGTAGGTGAGTGTTCAGGTGGGGGATGGGATGCTGTGAGTGAGTCAGCGTTGTCCTCCCACCACTAATGGCCAGGAAATGTCTATGTTGGACAGACTAATTGAATTTCTTTAACAGGAAAGCATCCTGCAGGTCCATTAGGCGTTGGTAAACAGCAACACAAAGCAGAGGGGGAGGCAGGTGGGAGAGGAAAGTGAGGATGCAAGGGGGGAGTGTGAGGGGGGGGCAGGAAAGAAGATGGAAGCATTATTTATTCTTGAAGCAACTGAAGGTACAGTCAGACGTTTAATTTGTAGGCAGTTTTTGTGAGCTTGAGGTTAATATTTGTTAAAAACACAATCAGATGACGTTAAAACGGGTTCCAGATGTTCTGCTGTAAAAATCTGTTCAGCAGGCAGCCCTGGTGTTCTAGTTATATAAGTAGAGGATGCATGTGATCATTTTCCTGGCTTTCAATAGCAATTGCAATATAAAAGAACCCACATTTATAATCTAAAAACATGTCTTTTAATTCTCCCACATTTGTTTAAATGTAAATAAATATTTTTGGAAACAGGAATTTGTTTGTTCTCAAAGTCGTTGTTCTCAAACGTCATGCTGCCCAGGCTGGAAAGTATTCAAAGGGAGAATGACCAGGATTTGTTGGTTGTGGTTTTTTAAACAACATTTAAAGTCAGACCCTCCTTCAGACGGTTGAGCAATGTCTTTAGTTTCCTGTTGAATAGATGATCCATCAATTTAGTGTGTAAGTCAAGTGGGCTTTTATAGACTGAGGGTTTTCGTTAACTGTCTAAACATTAACACCCAGAATTTCCAAAACACAGCAAAAAGAAGAAGAAGCTGGACAATGTCTCTTCAGACAGACATCAGCCTGTTCACATGGGCAGATAAAACTCTGGCGTTCTAAGATTCTAAGACTTTATTTTTTTTGCCAACAAAACATTTTTAATATCATCATGAAATTATAACATCATTTGATAAAATCATTGATTTTTTTTTTCTGGGGACATTATCTCTAATGTGAGACTTATTGGTTTCCAGGGTGTTTTTTCTTGTCTGCTGTGCTGCTTAGGGTTATAATGAATGGCATTAAAATTAAAAAGGTCAATTGAGGATACTGTTGAACCTCATTTACATTTTTCTGAGCTGCACTCAACATAAACACAGTTACTTCCTGCCTTCACGTCTTTCTGCACTAAAGGGAAAAGCTACATTCACAAACATAATGAACAGTCGCTCAACAGGGCTCAAACCAGGAACACTTGTTACCTCCGGTTACAGCCATCGATATCATGCATCTGGTAAACTCTGCAATGTAAGTGTGATCAGTGGAACCTTCCTTTAAACTAGGGATGCTACATAGTAAGACCCTGGAAGGGGAAAACCAGTCGTTCCTCAGACACAGATAAGCATGAAGAACAGTGGAGCTTCTATGCTGCGTGTAAATTGAGCCTTTCTTCCTGTGAGAGGGTGACATGGAGGAATGCAGCACATTAATGTGGACATGGGTGGGCTTTTCATTCCTGTCATAGCATCTCTCTCTTCCCTTTGACCCACCATGACTTTCTTCTCTCTCTTTTTTTGCCTACATGCCTCTTCTCAGTTTGTGTCAGCAGGGTGTGGAAGTAGAAGTGGCCTGTTTGCTCTGCATCGTTCAGGATGTCCGAATGATCATCATAAACATTAGAGTTCACATTTGTGATGCATATATTATTTCGCAGAACAATTCATTTGCTGGCCAGTTGGCCTACTTCACTTCTAAAATAAAAAAAATTAAAAATGTGTATTATCGACATTTAAATGAGCTGCCTTGTAGGAATCACATAGAAGGTTAACACTAGAAAGACCAAGGCAGTCATTTTGACTGTTTTTTAATTTTGCAATGTAGTAAATTACTTAAAATAAAACCTATGTAACTACAGGACCATGACTTTTCCTAAATGTGTCTATATTTTATTCTAGCATTGTTATTTTATCAAAAACACAAAACACAAAAGAGTTTTGAGTATTTCTACCTTGAAAGTCCATAGCGGTCATATTGACTGCATGCATTATAGCCAGTGTATCATTTCAGTATTCGCTACTTTTTCCCACTCTTGAAGGTAGAGGTGGGCGATATGGGAAAAATATCATATCACGATTTTATCACAATGTTTTTCAGTACTGTTTAGACAAATTTGTAAGTTGCTGACCAGCTCAACCAAACTTATTTCCCTGTATAATGTTTTTAAATGCACAAAAACTGTGCCGACGAGTTTAATCTATTTGAAAAACATCTTTGTAGGAGTTCTGGAGGTCTCACCCAGAACATCTTTAGCACCAGAAGTCTTTCGTCAGATGTCTTTCCCTCAATTTGATCAATATTTATGCACAATTTGAAGGTTTTCCTCACCACTTTGAAATGATGATTTAGTTCTGTGTCCTCTTTTAATGTTCACCAGGAACATTTTCACACAGTGATGCATTCATTTAAAAACATGTAAACTTCAAGTTCCTGTGTTTCTGTTCTATTTTAGCCCTGCAGAGTTCCTCCAGCTGGAGCTTCATACAGGCTCTGCAGCCTTTGTTGTTTTTTTTATGACATCGTTGGACTAACTTTAGTTTGGTTTATACATAATCAAACATAATACAGAATGTTTTTAATTCTGTGACACATGATCAAAGTAAGTTTTACTGACAGAAGAGTTTAATTCATAGAGGGGGCGGGACATTGTTGATTGACAGACAGACAGACAGTCACCATGGTTACTCACTCTCACCTGCCTGCTGAACACAACGTGTAACGTCGTTTAGCCTAATCCCTATAAATTCAGTTATCACAACAGGTGAGCTTCGGGTGGAGAAGCTTGATAGTAACTTTTAAAAACTGAGAGAGAGCAGAAAACACCGACAGCACCATTTTAAACACCAGGGTTATATCTCCCCTGACTGTCTGAGCTCCCCCCTGTCTGTCTCTGACTGTTAACGTCTCTCCGTGTCGCTATCTGAGATGTAGGTTAATCTTAACTGTGCACACTATGCAGATAAGTTAACTGTTGCTCACAGCGTGTCGGTTTGGAAAAATATCAGAACAGTTGCATATAACCGAGATGAAGTTGTTTTTGCGGACTTTACTTTTAAGTTTCGTTTTCACCACTGCGGAGCAAAAAAGGAGGGGGGGGGGGGGGGGGAGACGCGTCTGCAGCATGATAAAATAAACACATTAGTCCGGTTCTACGATCTCTCTGCTTTGGCAGATCGTCAGCACGTTAAAATCCTTCACGATCGTTATATCGCCCACCCCTACTTGAAGGTGCGCATCGCTGTTGCCTAGCAACTATTGTTCATAACGCTCGAGCCAAGGAGGAAAGAAAGCTTACCCGCCTAAAACCATATAGAAAGAATAGAAGACATACATTTGAATTAATCAATTAATCAACATTGAAAAGGCAGAATAGAGTAAATTAGGATCTGATTTAGAACAGAATAGAACAAAATGTCAGAAAGGAGGAGGATGACTGCCACAGAGGCTCCAGAGCCTTGATGAGGCAGAGTCTGACGGAGGCAGGTTCGGATACGGAAAGTGATGTCTCCTGGTCTCTCGAAACTTCATCTGACACTGGCTCTGAGATTGAACCTGAGAATGATACAGAGATCATTTCCATTTGCAAAAAACGCCGGCTGCTGTTTTCGATAAACTATTCAAATTTCAAATTCATTAGAATTTAATGTTTGTGTCCTGAAGTTTATTATACCTTTCATTTATTCTTATATTTGATATTGATTATTGAAATGATATGCAAATAATTTGTAAACAGTCAAAATGACCGCTATGGCCTTTTTAGTAGTGATAGAATGCCGGTCGTTCTAGTGTTAAGGAATCTTTATCTAAACTATTAGTTCATTCCATCACTTAACTAAAATCATGAGTCACACATCAATGCCATGTTTCTGTTACTTTTACTACTACTACTAATACTACTTTTATTCATTTGAGCTGTTCTTGGTATTCTCTTATTAATATAATTTTGTTAATTAAAAAAAAATGAATGGAAACTTGACAGTTTCAGCTGCCTGCTAACCTTAAAGATAGAAGGCTCTAGCTGTATTTTCTCTGCTTATGTGCTATGAAAACAAATTCAAAGTACTAAAACATGTTGAACTTTCATACTGAGTACCTTCTGTCTCTTTTTCAGCATGGGCGGACATGGAGGTGAACATGGAGGACAGAGTAGAGGTTTACAAGGGAGACACAGCTCAGATCACCTGCATGTTTACATCGTCTGAAGGCATCGGCAACACAATAATTCAGTGGTTTTATGTGAGTTCCAAATGCACTTATAAACAAAGAGGTACGATGTCTCCATCTATGTGATCTTTTAATGTTTTTGAATTCTGATCTTTAGGTGACAGAAACAGGTGAGAGGCAGAAAATCTACTATCAGGACTCCATGTCGCAGATAGTAGACCGGGCCACACGGTTTACAGATCGGATCAGTGTGAACGGAACTGGAGCCACAGGAGAGGTGGTGCTGACTATACGTGATGTGCAGCTTGCAGATGGAAGAGAATTTATCTGTCTGATCAAAAACTTAACAGACGATTCAAAAGGGAGCACACAGCTGAAAGTGTTTGGTACGTGTGTGTTTTTTTTGGATGACGAGGGTTAACCAGTACTTTAAACAAACCAACTGTTGAAAGCAGTGGTGAATTAAAAGAAGAATCCTCTATTTGTGATGCCTTTCTTATGCATGATTTGTGAATTTGGTGCAATGCTGTTTTGTAATTCTTGCCTTCAAATCAACAGGATAACGACTCAACTTATTTCACCAAACATGTCTGGTGCTGTCCTTGTTTACACTTGTAACACCCCTTGCAATTGCATTCACCCATCACATGTCGGTGACATTTGGACTCTGGTTTTTAATACCTCGGTTTTTGCAATATGCTAAAACAGTTTGAAACCGTTAGAAACAAATCTTATCAGCTGCCAGAACAAAAAAAGTTTGTTTGAGTTCTCGATTCCTTTGCAGGAACACCAGACCTTCCCACCATCGAGGGTGTGCAGACGGGGATCTCAGTCAACGAAGTTAGCCCATCAAAGGTTAACAAGCTTTACATCATGTACACAAGATTATAACAAAGATGAAATTACTTTCAGGTTACAGTTTAATACTTTGTATTTCATTTCCTCTCATACACGCTCCTTTGCTACAGATTGGGACCTGTGAGGTTAAAAATGGATTCCCCAGGCCCAACATCACTTGGTACAGAAACAACACACCACTACAGAGTGTCCCAGATGGTAAGACAGAGCAACAACTACTTCTGTGATGAACTCCTACCTTACTTTAGCTTGTACTTCATGTGGGTTAATAACTTTTTTCTCTCCTCTTCTATTCTACGTTCAGAGGTGGAAATAGTGCCCAGTGTCACCTCTGAATCCAGTGGTCTGTTCTCAGTGAAAAGTGAGCTGAACTTGAAGGTGGTGAAGGAGGACAAAAATGATGAGTTCTACTGCGAGGTATCCTACTTTGTTCCTGGAGGAACCAGGATGACTGAGACTCACAGGATAAACATCTCTGTATTCTGTGAGTGGCTGAAACCAATACCATTTTGTTGTTTTTTGACTCTGGGAAAACTGCACCTGCCTGCAGCACTAATTTTAGGTCATAAGACAGACCTTCACTCAGATTTTCTGTCCAGCCTTTAAGTTTTCGATAGGGACCAGGTCAGGGCCATGTTTAGATTCAGAAAACTCAAAAAGCTTAATCTTGACTGACCAGGCTTTGTGCACATGGGGTCATGATAAACCAGGAAAGGGCCTGTGGCAACAAGAAAAACTGCTGGCACAAAGTTTACGAAGTTCAAAACACGTAATTGTTCAACTTTGTTAAAGTTTTAGACAATAATTTGTTGTACTGTTTAAACTTTTCTTCTCAGGAAAATGCAGAATTCATGTCAACATAGAAAAGTGAAAAATAAAAAAGAAGCTAAATCACATTGTTTTAAGTCGATTAAAGAACAATAACAATTTAAAAGAGACTGAAAATAAGCATTTTTATCTGTCTTATTCTGCCTCTTTTCAAGTGACCTCTGGACATTGAGCAGGGTTTGCTGCAGAGATGATTGTAGTCACCTGGTGCAAGTGAAAGCTCCTGTTTGCAGTCTAATGTTTAAACTGTTCTCTTTGTTTCAGACCCCCCCACAGCTGTCAATGTTTGGGTGGAGTCACCAAAAGGAAATATCAAAGAAGGAGACTCGATTGAGCTTCATTGTGAAGACAATGGGAATCCTCCATCCTCCATTATTTCAATCAAGCGTTTTGAAGAAAACAATAGTGTAAATTTCCACATTTTTATTTTTTTACGAGTGTTTTAGAGACTTCTTACCTATGTCAGGTTAAAAGTTGTATGTTCCTGTAGAAATAATTCAGTGGACTCCTGCACACAGGCAGAATCCAAAGAAAGTACTGGAACACACAAATCACTCACGGCAAATTTTACAAGATGCATGTTCATTGAGATGTAAGATGTATGGTCACATAACTTGTTTGTTTTGTAGGATGGCCAGTCCCTTGACGGTGAGGTGTTGGTGCTGAATAATGTCACCCGTCGCGATAGCGGAGTTTATCAATGTACTTCCATTGACTCAGACACCTTCCAGTCCATTTCTGGAAACGTCTCAGTCTTTGTCCACTGTAAGGAAAATTAACTGAAAGGATTTGTAATTATTTTTGATGAACTACCTTTTCTTATCATTTTCTGTCATTTATTTCTCTGGTTTCTCTCCGTGCTGTGTGTGTAGTTCTCGATGCTGCTGTGGTGATCCCTCAAGACACTATTGTTGTCGCTATGGGTGAGGAGTTTAAAGCTACCTGCAACGCCCTCTCCTCTCTGAAGACTCAAGCAGAGTGGTTAAAGGTCAGGTATACACATACATTGTCTCAAAATTACTGCATGAATGAATTAACCTGCATTTAGAAAACTCATCTCATCTTGACTTATAGCTCAACAGAATTGATCCAAAGTGCTGAACAACACAGATAGAGGAAAAACAAAGCATAAGAAAAGTAACAGACAAGAACAACAATAATCAAAATGAAAGAACAGGTAACAATTATGTCCAAGGGTAATAGAACTCACAGAGCTATAGATCCCTGAGCTCAATGGTTATTGAAAATTGAAGGCAATTTAGTAGAAATATGTTTTAAGGTGAGTCATAAAAAACAATTTTGGGTGAGAGACGGATGTCCGGAGAGTTCCACAATTTTGGTCCAGCAATAGAAAAAGCCCTATCCCCATAACGCTTTGTCCTGGATCTAGGCATGGACAGAAGGTTTTTGTCAGATGACTTTAGATCTCTTACCAGCTGATATGGGGACAGGACACAACTCATCACTCTGCTGTACTGTGTGCAGAAAGGTGTAGGGTGAAACATTAAACAAGGACAAGACTACATTACATTTGTCTTTTAAGATGGTTCAGGAAACTGGTAAGTTAGAGATAAAGTACTTCACATTTTAATTTGTCATTTCTTTCTTCCTGCAATGATTTTGGACTTTGTGATGTATTTTTCCATTCAGTTGAAAAAGCGTGATTTGTGGGTATATAGCATGCATGTGCCAAAGCTAATGTTGCACATACATGAGGGACCAATTCAGTATGAGCGTCTGCCTTGAACAGAGTTTTGTCTTGTAAAATCATAAAACTAGGACAGGAGACTTGGAAAGCTATGCCATCTCTATATGCCGTTACTTTTTGTTTAGGAGGAGCTGGCTATTGAATGGGAAAAGGAAGGCCCTTTTTTTACTACACAAAGTGCTATTTACACCGAATGTCAAATTCACCGTCTGATGGCAGAGGGTGCTATGTACTGTAAAGTGTCAGTCAGACAGTATTAACTAATTCCATTCATACACATTCACATGATACAGCGGGAGTTATTTTGGATTCAGTGTCGTATCCAAAGGGGTTTCAACATGTGACTTCAAGAGCTGGGGATCAAAACCACTCACCTTCCAATTGAGAGACGACCAGCTCTTTGTTGTTTATCCACAGCGGAAACATGGAAAGTTTACCTTTTGTGCCGAATCACTACAAAAGACCACCTATCAGAAAGGAAATAGTTAGGGTTAGTAAAATAGCAGCTTGCCAACTAAAAAGAACAAGTAATATTTTTTAACATTATCATTCTTATTACAAATATAATCTGCACATCAGCTGAAGTAAACATTCTTAAAGGGTATTCTTTACGTTTTGTCAAGTATTGTATCCTTTTTAAGCATCTGTCTGATCCACTACAAACAAATACACTGCAAACCTATGAATTATTCATATCCTCGTGTGTGTGTCAGCGTGTGTTTGTTAATTGTGCATTTTTTTGTCCTGGTGTGTAGGATGGAGAGGTCGTTTTTAAGGGTCACACTTTGACTGTGAAAGATGCTACGTTTGACAAAGCAGGGATGTACGAGTGTGTGGTGACTGTTCCTGAAATTGAAGAGATGAAAACCAGTGGGTCGATTTTCGTAAACGTCAAAGGTCAGCCTGATCACAGTTATTGTAGAATCAATAATGTAATCATTTTTGATCACGTTCTGCCCGTAATCAACCCATCATTGTTTATTTTACCTATACTTTCTTGTGTTTATTTTCCAAACATTCTTCTCTCGTTTCAGTTTTAATTCTTTATTTCAAATTAAAGATGTGTGGTAGCAGTGAGCAGCATGACGGTTCAAGGTTTGTATTAATTGTTTATCTCCCTGCAGGACCACCAGAGATCTTGAAGCCTGACAACACAGAGATTGAGAGTTATGACACAACAGTAGACCTGAGCTGCATGGTCCGAGGTTTCCCGGCTCCCAAAATTATCTGGAGCACCTCGGATGGACAGGTACAACGGAGGGAACGCAGTTTTTTTTAAGATGTGTTGTTGGTAGATTTCGTTGTGTCATTGATCCCAAAACCAAAAACATTTCATTCAAATGTGTAAAGAGAGAGGCAAGGTCCTATGTGTAACGTATTACGTTTAAGATCAATACAAAATAATGTTGTGATTGGTCATTTCGTAGCACATGTTTTGTTGCAGGACCTTGAGATGGCTTCAGAGATGATGACTGAGGATGGACTTCAGAGCAGGGTCAGTATCCAGGTCACCTCTGACATCACTGCTTCTTGCAACGCCTCCAACGACCACGGCACAGACGCCTTGACCTTCAACATTAAAACCCGTGAGTCCCTCCTGCTGCTTGAGTTTCCTGTGTCTGCCCTTTGTTCTTATGCGTGTTTGTCTCTATATGTTGTCCCCAGCTTCCCCTTTGTTTCTCCCTTTGTAGTCTGAATGACTTTGTTGTTTATTTTTACTTTGTCTGAAGGCCTCCAGCTCTGTTATGTGCTGTTATGTGCTGTAACATGTAGCCCGTTATTCTGGACATGTCAATCAGTGTTGTTTTTGTCATTTCTGGACGGGGACGCTGCTTGCGGCTGTTCAATGTGCTCTCCTCCTCCGCCAGTGTGTTAACAGGAAACGTCTTCCGTTTTGTGTGTGCCTCTACCTTTTTTTTTTTTAGCTGTTAACACAACCCCACCACCAGTCACTACAACTACAACCATTCCTACTACTACTACTACCACTACCACTACCACTGCCACTACCACTGGCACTGCCACTGCCACTACTATTTCCTCAGCCACAGGTAAGTTCACAGTCAATGCCCACCCAGCATCACTTAAGTGAAAAAAACTACAAAAAAAGAAATATTCTTAAAATGATTTTATCACAAGGTATCCACTAAAAGGACTTTAATGTGTGTGACTTCAGTTTTCAGTAAAGCTTTTAATCTGTATGTTCGTATTTTCTTTGTGAGTCAGGCACAAACAGTTAGAGTGAGAAAGGAACACTACAGTACAAAGCACCTGACGGGAGCCAAAATCTCAACGGTTTTCTTGAGAATTTTAGGTTCTTTAGAATTAGAATTGCAAATAGATGTTTTCATTGTGGTCAGTAATTGCTGCAAGGTGTCCTCAAATTGTTGGCACTGCTATGCTAATTTTGTTTTAACATGGTATTTGCTCTCCTCTTTTTCAAATGTGTTGAAAGGGAAACCACATCAGGGTTGATTTCCCAGAAACTTAACTTGTTATTTATCTTGTTATTATGAGTCATGCATCCCTGTTAGCATGATGGCATGTAGATACACACAGAGTGCACAAACACACACATGCATCACAGTGACTAGAAAGCAGCTGATGTTTTAAAATGCACTTACAGGGAGTCTCCTGACTTCCATTACAGCCACAGCCTTGTGTTTTCTCTCCTCTTTAGCCTCGACTCTCTCTTGTACGTCATGCCAGGAAATTTCCAGCCCCTCAGGAAAACTGTCCCTGGTTGTGTCTGGCAGAACACTGTTTAAATGAGATTAACCTGGGCAGCTCTGGGAGGTGACTGTTGGGATACTGACCACAGTTGACCTGCTTAGCTTCATGTTAAGCTTTTAATCATTGATATGATCTGTTCAAATTAAACATTAGTTTGGACTTGCTTTGGGTCTCTGCCGCTGATGTGAGTGTGTGTGTGTGTGTGTGTGTGTGTGTGTGTGTGTGTGTGTGTGTGTGTGTGTGTGTGTGTGTGTGTGTGTGTGTGTGTGTGTGTGTGTGTGTGTGTGTGTGTGTGTGTGTGTGTGTGTGTGTGTGTGTGTGTGTGTGTTGGCTGGCTGATAAGATTGATTTAATATATCGTTATAACCTTGCTCATGTGGTTTTTCTTAGTCAAAGCTGAAACAGCAATCCCACCAAAGAAAATAAGGAAAGGTTTGTATGTTACACAGCTGAGGACTCTCCTTCATGTCTCCTTTCCTCCACTTCTGCTCCACAGCACCTCCCTGCATCCATCGGCCACCCCCCCCCCTCCCCCCCCCCCTCCTCCTCCCTCCTGATGAACAAAACGTCAAACCATCATTGAGTTGTTCATCTTCACATCTGTCTCTGCATGTTGTCATGCTGTACTATGAGCACACCTTTCTTCCTTCCCTCATAATTGACTTTCTGTCTGTAGGTTGCCAGGTGTAGGTCACCACGGTTATGCTAGTGCTGCTCTCTCTTTACACACGCTGTAAGACGTTCTGTACTCTACTTGCACACTGTGAATGCTGCACAGCCTGCTTGATGCCATCCCATATTCGACTCCATCAAACTCTTAATCCAGATACAGCGAGTAACTATTTGTATTGTACTTGTGCTCTCTTCCACCAGAGGGCAGTGGTGTTATCATTGCAGTCATCATAATCTGCATCCTACTGCTGGCCATCCTTGGCAGTGTGCTCTACTTCCTCTACAAAAAGGGCAAAATCTGTGGAAGGTCTGGCAAGCAGGACCTGTAAGTACAATGAGAGCAATTTGATGCTGGGAGTTCATATGTAAAGATGTGAAGTTTCTTAAAACTTTGAGGCCCGAAGAAGAAGAGTGCATAGCTCTCATCCTTATCCAGTGTAAACACTGTTTTTAAACGTTACTTTTTCCTAGTAACTAAATAAACTGAACTTGATTTCATCAACAGCATAATTATAAAAATCAGACAAAGCAAAACTGGAAGGAGAAACAAAAAACCATCTCACAATATTGTGTACATACATTAACATTCTACTTATTTGGAACTGGCATTAACTTAATAAAAAAATATATATATATATAATAATTTCCTTGATGTGGGAAGCAAATCATGCAAATAAACATAAAACAATAATATAAAAACATAAACGTATTTGATTGAGAAGTACATTTTTGAGACAAATACATAACGTTTCCCTCAGAATGTAGAGCTAAAGGTGCTTATAGTCAGTGAGCCACTGAGCATTGGAATACCTGTCAGCACTGCGGCTGTAGCTCAGTTGGTAGAGTCGTCGCCTGTACGTCGCTTTTTATAAAATCGTCTGCTAAGTGAATTGTAGAAATGTAGAATTGTAGAACTCCTGTTAAAGTTAGGTACTCTGTCAGAGAAGATGTAGGACCTGATGGCAGATGACAAAATGTATGTGCCGTATGCTCAGGAAAGTCTGCTTGGGCGTTATCAGACTTGTTATTTGCCTTTAACCAGGTATGAAGTTCGATTAAAAATACATACTGCAAAATATAAACATTTAAATAGCTTGCAATTTTAGAATGACAAAGTTTGACATAACTACAACCAACATTGAAGGCATAACAACTCTAAAGGTTAAAGCCACTATAATCAGTATTACCTTTAACAATGGACAATGTATGTGAAAGATGCTGCTCGCAGTGATGAATCAAGGCTCTTCAGAGTGCATCTTTGGAATAAACCTGAAGAACATTGAAAACTAACAAAGATATTTTTCCCTCAGGAGATTGTAGAGACCATAAGCTTATAGAAAGACTTTAGTGAAATTATACTGTTACCCCATAACTGTTGAATGTGTACATATGACTGTGCTAATATATTTGTTTCAAGCATTCTTATTTCTACTTGTCTTGCAGCACCAAGGACAAGTCGAACAAAGATAACATTGTGGTGGAGATGAAGAGTGATAACACTGAGGAAGCTGTGTTGCTCGGGGTCAACGGAGAAAAGCAGTCTCCCAATGAGCAGGTAGATGAATGTTCAACTGAAATATGATGCTGTTTTGATTATCTCATTACATCATTAAATTATTTGAACACAATTGTCTTTCCTTGTTTTTTTATTGTCTGTGTTTGCCCTCTGGAGTAAAGGGTGGTGCATACCTGGACGTGCAGAAATGATGAGTTGACACAGACCCGCTGCTGCCTTCACGCTTTTACCACAGTTCCTCATCCCAGAGTTACATCATGGAAATGCTCTGCCTGTCATAATGGACAACTAAGAATCGAATTATTCCAAGCTGCAGTCATAGCTTACAGCTCGTCACGTCACATTTCTGTCTGAGTGCAACCTTAGCTTTCATGGCAGATGATCTGAGCACTTCATGACAGAACTCTGCCATTCGACCTTCAAACCTTTCGACTGTCTTCTGGGATTCTCCCTCACGTGAGCCTTGTATACTGCTGATTGTCTGTAGAACAATAGAACACAACATGACCAGGGACTGTTTTTTATATCCAACTACACTTCACCTCAGACACAGAGCTCACTGAAGAGCAGCCTGACATAGCTCTTTATCAAGTGTACATATTATAATCTATGTATATATTTCTTTATTTAAAATAACACCTGAAAAAAACAACCAAAAAGAAATGACCAGACAGTGTTTTATTTTGTTTTAGTGGTTTATATGAAAGATGTCTTTTATTTTTAGGGGACTTTTTTTTTTTTTTAACTTGTTTTTGTTCTTTTTGTTTCCAGTTTTGCCTAAGTCTGTACACTGAACTTGTGAAGGTGGAGTCAGTGGCATTTTTCATTGCAGTTGTTAACGCAACATTCAAACTAGGCCCCTCCTCCTGTGATCATATTTCCTGCTCCCCGCCCAGAAACAACCAAAACATCAAAATACTAGCAGAGGACAGGGTCTCTGCAGACACAGTCACCACCATGGAGGCCCATAAGGGATCTCTGATTAAAATGACTTTTGTATTAGTCAATGTTTAAATTTTTTTAGGAAAAAGCTACTGACTCTGTCTTTAAGGGATGGTGTGACGCCTCCCCCTACATCCAGTTACAACCTCACCAAAGTGTGAACTTTTAACTCTGAAAACAAACATGCAGGTAATTTAGTCACATTATTCAAATTTTAAGCTAACACTAACTTCTGTAGTCTCCCCAGTTTGTGTAGTTTTTAATTGAAATGTGTAGCTTAACAATTTCTTCATTATTTGACATGGGTTTTGTTACCTTTATTTTTTGTTTCAACTTTGTTGTGTCTCTTCTTCTCTGTTGTTCTGTATGTGTTTGAGTGACATTTCAAACAGCCAGGTGAAAAGGTTACAGATGCCTTAATAATTCAATGAAAGCCTTTGGAAATATCAGCAAACCCAACAATTTTGTATTGCTGGTTATGTTTTTATTTAATCTTATGTGCACTGATTTCTTTGTGTTCTTCTTTGTGAGTTTGTGCTTCTTTAATGTGAAGCTGTTGAATTTTTGTGACATTATTCAGATAAAATTGTGTAGCCTAGGTTTGTTTATTTTATTATTTTTAAAAGAGGAATGACAAGGGTAGAACAAAGTATTGGTCCCTGATAGAAATTGTTTGCAGCATGAAATTTACCTCCTCAGTAGACCAACTGCATTTCTGTTTAGTTACTTCTGGTTTTAACTTGAAATAAACATTTGGATCCCAGAGAAACTCAGACTCACCCTCACATGGGAAACAAATGTGAATAAAGTATGCGACTACTAAGGAGGGGAGGACGCCATGAGACTCCATGCATGCAAATTAAGTTAATAGACAATCAACATGTGCAGGTATCATCCAAACATACCCTGTGATAGTCTTTGTTTGTCTGCTGTTTTAAGATCAACCACTGTTTATTGGTTTCAGTTTTTTTTAAAGTCTTTTAAATGCCTTTCATGCCTTGTAAATGTAAAAGAAATGCCACTGATGAAATTCAAGCCAATTTCCTGAAAAATTCACTGCAGTTTTTTGAAAGTATACCAAATAAAGATTGACTGTTGAATGACAAAGTGTGTCTTAGTTTGACAATGAGCAACCTTTTATTAAAAAATAAAGGATTTTTTTAAATCAGGTATTTGTTACATGATTTAAAGGCTTTTATTTCATAAAAGATTTCAGATCCTTTGTTTCGTATAACATGTTCAATTGATCGCGTAATTTGGTAACATAGATCACTGCGCCACCTCCAAGCTGCAGCTAACATTTTTTTAAGTCCTTGATCACCACCTATAGGTGTTAGTCTGTCAGTTTGTTTCATACTATATAGGTTCATGTTAAGGAAGTTCTATTATTGTTGCCACAGCGCCCCCTGTGCGTCAAATGGTACGAAACCTTCAAAGAACTACACATACTCAATGTGTATAGAAAGGTAGTTGTATCGTTAAAAGACGCAGAATAACATCAATATTACAGAAGCACAGAGAATAAAGCGAGTCCGACTGGGATTTTGACATCAGGGACAAGACACCCCGAGTGCGGGTTCTGTGTCTGCAGCCCTGGGATGCCTGGGAGCTAGTGTTAGCTCTAGGGCTAATGAGTTCCAGCATCAACACATCCCTCTGCCCTTGCTTTCACCATCCCCACTGATAGAGTCCAGGTTGAACTTGCTGCTCATCTCTTTGCAGTTAAACATAACTCCCTATCATCAAACATGAGAACCCCCTGCCCCAGGCCTGACAAGTTCAAAATCCTTCCTGAAGTCCCGTACTCAGGCCCAGCAACAGTAGTACCGGTAAACACACCACCACTTAACAGAGCAACCACTCAATCAGAGTGGCAAATAGTTTAACTGAACATGGAAGGAAAATATTTCTGTTATGATAATGAAGTTGTTAGCGATATTTTTTATTTTAAGACCTAAAATTAAGAGACATTTCATTTGATGGGGAATCTGAATAGAACCCATATAAAACTCTGAAGTGATAGGCCAACTCTATCACATTGATTTCACGGAATTTATGTCATATTTCTTTGTTTATACTCATGTCAAACACTTGATTTAATCCCCGCTCATCACAAGTCGACTTTTAAGAAACTGATAAGGTCTTTTTCAGGTTCTGTATTTTCTCACTGATGTTTATAAGTTTCAATGAAGTCTGATCTGTTGGCAGCGTCCAATCAGAGTGTAATATGATAAGAGGTGTGCAAGTATCCTCACTCATCGCTCCTCAGATCTCGCTCCTCTATCGAAGAGCTTTGAAACAGTCATTAAAACTGTGTGTCCGAAACTTCTCCCAGTTTCGACCAAGGAGTGAGTAGACATCATGTCAGAGAACTGAGATGCAGGACAGTAAGTTCAGTGAGAAGAGGTTAGTTCTGACACCATTTAACCTGAAAAGAATAGGCCATAATACTTTACTCTACTTCTTTGACAACGTCAAACTGTCTGCTGTTAGAAGAAAAGTAAAACAACACAACTGAACAATTCATTGTTAAACTCCTCCTGACAAAACTCTATTGTTCTTTCGTTATTCAAGTGAGAAACATTTTTTCTCTCTTCAATCAATTTGCAAGTTTAAATTCTTAAAAAAATCATTTTATCTCTGTAACGAAACCATCTGATCATGTATTCTGAAAACAAAAAACAGACATGTGAGACTTTCTGCTTATCATTTTATTAACAGCACTGTGCATACTTTCGAATTGATATGAGCTTTAAAAACCATCAAAAAGTTAATGAATGCCAATTACTGATGAGAAGCGAAACAGCTACATGAATCAGCAGCTCCCTCTTCTGGCAAAAAAATTGAAATACCCAGACACAGGGACTGAGGGTAACGGAGGCTGGTACACATCCAGCATCTGTGAGGTCAGAACTGGCGCTCACAGATGAGGTCTGATACGGCTGACAAGGCAGAGAGGACAGATTAATTCAAGCAATACTGCACAATCTGGCCATCAGAGATCAATACCTACAAACTCTTCAAAATCAAGGCCAGACTCTAAACATGGGGACGATCTCTAAACATATGGCACTGCTCACAGAATTATTCACAGAAGTAAACAAAACCTTTGGAGAAAGATATGTGTACAGGAATGCAAAATTAAAATAAGTCTTTTTTTTCTATTCATATCACTGACTTTGTACACTTAGCTTTCTTTAGAGTGACAGTATCATAGCACAAACTGGTATACTGTGCAAAAACAAGATAAAAAGGTAAATAATTACTCGACAAGCTCTCTTGAAACGTCAACAAAACATCAGCACAGTATTGAGGATAAGGGACCTCCCTGTCAAATACACATCATTCAAGAGCTTCTCAAGGCAACTAGGAACAGAAAAAAAAAAAAAAGAGGATGGCCAGACAGCGCAGGTATAGCTTTCCTTTAACAGACAGACTTTGTCAACGAAAGCTTTGGCAGATAAGCCCTGATTTACTCTCTCCCATTAAACATTCTACTTCATATACTGGGAGAGTTTCACATCAATGTACCTAAAAGCTCCATGCATTAATTTTTTTTAATTTTTCCATTCATAGTACCTGGAAATTAGGCTGCTGTCTCCAGTCCTGCCAACACTAGAAATAATACAAAAAAAATGTGCAAGTTATGAGAGAAAAAAGTTATAGGCTACTTGTGTGACTTCATAAAGTGGATTCTTTTGGCTACATGTCATCTCAGGTATGCTGGTGTCTCCCGTGGTTTGTGACAACCAGGCTGAACACCTCTTTTGTTTGGATAAAGTTATTCCTGAGTATGTTTTTACAGTTGGCCCAAATACTGATTTTAACGTAGAGCCGGGAGTGGGCCTGTAAACCCATGAGCCTACTTAAAGAATATAGCCCCATCAGTCGCTCCCTTTCAAGTAGAGGGGGATCCTGCAGAGAGAGGGAAATTGATATGAAAGAGCCTGGACCTGTTAGAAAATGGTTTACCACACCAAAAGCATTTAGTTTTGTTTTTTCAGATGCTATACACTCAACTCTGTGAGTGTCAGAGTGTATACATAGAAAAATATTTAAAACACTGAATAGTGGACCTGGTGAGAGGGCTGCAGGCTCACGAGCTGCTGTACTTTCAAGTATGCTACATTACAGACTGAAGAAAAACACACACGATACTGTCACTTTAAAGAAACAGGGTGGAGCTTAACACAATATTCACAAATGTACATTTAAGGCGTAATTGTTAGCAATAGTAGCAGCAGTGAAGCACTTCTGAATTAATTATAATAACAATATTTATGATCATACAACAATAATATATTAACAAAGTAAATCAATGACTTTTTCTGTTTCTAAACACCGGTCTAAGCTGGGGATAGAAATCCAAACCAGCCAGCCAATGAAGTTAGACAAAAGACAGAATGAAAACATTTCAGCCACCACACACTAACCTGTCTGGTACTGCAGGGTCGTCAACATTAGCACGTCCTCTATTAATCTCACTGCCAGGCTCTACAGCTGCACTCTGCCCTGACACAAACGCAGAGGGCAGTAGTACGTTTACAGAGCAGGGGTCCGAGTATACTGACTGTAAAACCACATTCATGTGTTTCAGGAACATGGGCTTATTAAGAGTAGGTCATGAGGAGTAGGTCTGGCACACATACACACACTTTGTCACAAAGCACACACGCACACACATTCTGCCAGACATCAATTTCAGACCTGTAACCATCGTTATGCTACTTTGTAAAATACAACACAACAAAAACAAATAGTTTTTTTTTTTTTTCCAAACATAAAAAAAAAAAAAACAGCGTACCAAACCGATGTTGTTAATCAAAAGGCCAAAACAGACTGGATTCATCATGAAAAAGCACATCTTAGCTGCTGCTCAATATGAGGAAGGCCATCCTGACTCCTCTTCCTCACATTCTCTCACATCCCTCTGTCTGCCTTAGAGGGCAAAACCACTCATTACACCGTGCTCCTGTCTACCCCACAACGCTAAACCAAGAGCGACCCTCAAAGCTGAAGTCATTTTTACATACTGTATATGCACGTACTGTATATATTACACACATTTAATATATATTTACTCATATATTAAATTTTTTATAGACATACATTTTTTTAGTTTTATTTGTGAGGTGTTGGTTACAATTTCCGCAAGAGGCTTCAACATGAAAGATTAGAGTCTGTCTTCCAAGGATTCCTACACAAGTCCTGTGTCCTGTGGCGTCCCATCATTGTTCCGCACGCTCTGTCAGTCCTGCGGAGACGTCTTTGTAAAAGAAGAGGCCTGCTGTAGCAGTTTGAAGAAGGCCATACACTGTTGAAAGCGCATGGAGTGCAGGGCACAGCCTCCCAGAGGTGCTGTAAGCCAGATAAAAATCCACAGTGGGCATTAGCCAGCACCGAACGAGCACTGCAGGCAATGGGCTTTGGGCTGGGCTGTGCCAACACATACCCAAACCGGGCTGGGCCAAGCTAGGGCGAGAGAGCAAACAAGAGAGAGAGGCACAAGGAGTGTGCTATGTAAGAACATGCGCAGTGGAGGGAATGGAGACAAACTCGCGTAGGATATTCTTGGCCATTTCAATATTGTTCTGTGCAATCATCAGTGCTTTCTGGATGTCCTGGTACGAGTAGCCCTGACTCATGAGGTGCTCGATCTCGCTGCTGATTTGAGGGTTGGTTTCTCCTCCTGTTGCCCCACTACAAGGTGGAGCAGGGACGGGAGGGACAGGGCTGTGCCGACGCTCTGAGTTGATTCTTCTGGGCAGGGGCTTTGGAGGTCTCTCTGGAGCTTCCACCGGCTCTAAGAAGGCTGAACAGATTTAGAGACAGTAACCACCATATACTGTTCATTTTAATATCTTATGTTCATGTTAATGATGAAACAACACAGAATTAAAATGAATAGAAGAAAAAAATAATAATAATTTTGGAAAACACACTGAAACATTTGTCTGAGAGCTGCTCAACTGATTCTCAGATACACAGATGTGAGATTAAGCGGAACAGTCAGACACCTGAGAATCATCACAGGTGCTAAATGTCAACACAGTACAGGGAATAGTAGATTACTCTGAAAACTTAAAAGAACAGCTGAAAAAGGCTCCTTATAAGCACAGTGGAACAATTCTTTCATCAGTTCGCTGAAATGGTCTTTTCCTCCTGCAACTGCTTTAACATCTTTTTCTGGAAAATGTGACAGGCGTAATAAAGCCACTGATACTGCATTAGTTGCACACTACGACCTGTCAGTTTGAACTTTTGATGATACATACTATCATCTCACCATCAGGAATGTAAAGCCTCCAGAAAGTCATCACTTGCAGGTTATGAAGTATATGTCTGATGTCATGTATTTATTGTCTTAACCTTTTCAAACACAGAAAAATGTCAATCTATAAGAGTCCATTTGACTTCAGAGAGCTTTTGGAAAATCTCACCAGCTGCAGCAAAATGCTACAGTGGACTTTCAAGCCTGCACTATGGCTCACAGGATTTTGGCACTACTTTTACATAGTGATTAATCAGCACTTTAAATTGCTTTTGGCCAGGAAGAACATGAACAAAAAGTTACAGTAAGACATTTCAGATCCACATGGTTTCATTTTGTAAATGTGATCACTAATATTAAGTTCCAACTTTTAAATGTGAAATCCACGCTTTAAAAGCGTCAAAAATCATGGAAAGTATTTCTTTCTCGACCTAAAGACACTTTTGTCATTCTTTTTGATTTGCTCAGTTAGTTACCTTGTGCTTTTATAGAGGAGAGGAAATCAGTGAACTTACATGCTGCAGTTACAGCATCTGAATCTAGCGAAAGGCGGCTGAAAGCAGCTGTGGAGGATGAACATGATGAGGAAGATGAAGATGAGCAAGTTGATCCCCCCAACTCTGAGAGGGTCCGTCTGGCTGGAGGCATTGGCAGCCGGGGTTTCGGGATGTCGTAGCCATTTTCCTCCTCTTCCCTCTCCTCTGCTGCCTGGTTTCTGGGACCATTGGTCAGTGTCACAGGGGGCAACTCTGAATAGTCTGGGCAAGATTGTCAACCAAGTGTTAGCACTACATTATATGATAGATGATAGATTTAACATGTGTCTGGTTTTATTTATTTCGATCCATTATTATTTATTTCTAAAAAGACTTCAGGTGAGTCAACACTACAGCCACATCAGGATTGAGTTCATTCTCACATAGAGAGTAGGAGTTGTTTCCAGGTGGCAGGGTTCTTGATTAAAAGTGAAACTATTATGTAAGTGATCAGATTGGCTGGCCAGAATGAGTGATGTTCCATCAGCAGTTATTTTTAAAGTGGAGAAAACGCAAATCTTTGAATGGGAGGAAAAAATAAGATGAGGATTAAATTAGTATGTATCAAAGTGACTCAGGCTGCTTATCTCAGCTGTCCTCATCCACCTGTTCCTTCTGATAACAGTGAATACAAATACCTGAATCTCTGGCCTGTTGTGACCCAGACTGGATGTTGTACATGGCTTCATACATTTGAGGTCTATCCTCTAATTCAGTCAGCGACAGCCTACAAAAAAAGACAACAACAATAAGAATACATAAGCAGTTACTGTAATAAGCAAAGACATGTTGTCCATGCATACTGCTGTACATGGGTTCACTTAGTGCTTTAACTACCGTGAGTTGCTTGTGGAGGTCTGGGCCAGAGTCTGGAGTGCAGATAATGGCTGAGGCTGTGGAGGCCTCGGTACTGGTGGGGTCTCTGCTGCAGGTGCTGCCGTGACGGGGGGCAGGACAGGGCGGGAAGAGGGGATCATGTACTCTGACTCCTCCTCACTGTCACGTGCTTCCTCTCCTGCCACAGGCCTCTGGGCTGGAGATGGTCTGGGGGGGAAAAAAAACAAAGTATTGTCACACCAGAGCAGTAAACTGTCTTATAAACTACTGAAGTTTTTAAAGAACTCTCATACCCTTAAATAGTGGATTCTTGTGATTATTTCATTGAAAATGTACATACTCAACTCCCGTAATTTCTTTATGGTGGTAGTGTAATGTACCTAATTGCCAGTGAATAGATGGCATTTGCTGACGATGAGGGCTTGACTTTGGGGTTGTCATAATCTGGACCAGCTATCGCAGCAAAGTTCTGAAAAAGAAGCAGGAGTTAAAATCTCAGAAAGGGCAGAACATTTCATTTGAAATAAAGGATTAAATACTAATGACTTTTAAGGATTATTCTGACATTATGGGAACATTGACTTGAAAGTCAAGTTATTATTGTATCGTTACCCGGAGGTAATTAAAACTGTGTACAATGTGAATCATCTCACCTCACTCGCCTATGGCCAAAGCAACTATCCATAATTAAGTCTTTTATCTATTTATTTGAAATTCTGAAAACATAAAAATGACTTTCTGTGCAGGGTGCTGCAACTTTCTGAATGTCTCATCATGAGCAAACAAAACGATAAGACCAACTTTTCTCCTTAAAACCGTATTATCTTAGTTTGGACACTTAACATGGTTTGCTAATGGGTTTTACATTCCGTCAGAGCCTGCTGTCATAAGTCTTTACTCTAAGCTAAGCTAAGCTAAGCTATAAATTACTTTTACTCCTGTTCATGGACTAACAGACAAACTCACACTTGCTTTGACCCACATCTATGTTACGGTGTACTAGCATTTTGGATTGTGTTGCCACGTTTGTATTTCAAGTTTTTTTTATGAAAATAAAGACAATTAAATCAAATAAAACCAAAAGCTTGTTGACTGTGTGAAGTTGTGTGATTCCTCTAACCAGCTGGTGGTCAAGACTGAGGGAGCTGTTGTTCTTCTGTGAGTCGGAACGTGTGTCCAGAGCAGAGGGCAGCGCCAGGGGAAGGGAGTGTCTGTTGGAGAGTTCCCTGACACCTGCTCGAATGTCCCCTCCTAGACTGGAGACCTGTGTTGATGAGGAAGACGAGGAGGACGATGAGGATGATGAGGATGAGGAGATAGGGGCCTTGGGGACAGGCCGGGAGTTCCACTCAGCCAGGGGCCGGTTAGGAGGTGCAGGGGGGAGCTTGTCTCTAAGGGGCTCCCCTGGAGTGCAGGGTAAGGGCCGCCTCTGCAGCCGTCCTTCAAGGGTGGCCCCAGCTATGTGGGGGCGGTCAGGAGGAGGAGGAGGGGGGAGATCCCTCAGTGCTGGCGGAAGAGGAAGGGGCTTGTCTTTGTGGTGAGATGCTGCCTGATGGGAAGAAACAGACACAGGGAGCTCACTTAGACAAAGTACAACATCAATGTAAAATCAAAGGAAACTCAGGACCGTGAGCTTCTTTGCAAGAAGTAATCCTTTCAGCAACAAGATATTCCCATTGTGCTTTCTTCTTCATAATCAACAGTAACAAAAGTGAGACGAAAAACACAGAAGGAATAAAATGTTTATCATCTGCAGAAGATTTCTGCTTCCACAAGTCTGTTTCCATGCATCTTTATTTCAGAAGAAATATGTGGGAAACATGAGTGACTGGAAATAAACTCACTCTGAAAATGTTGAGTATAAAATGCAAGATTGTATTCACCTTTCTTGTATTAAGGCGGCAATAAAAGTCAGACGAATTTAACAGCACAGCGTCATCAGAAGTTAAATTATTCTTTAATTTGAATATTTTTGCTTCAGCTCCATGGATGCATTATCAAAATTTAGTGTTACCTCAAACATGACAACTAAGAGAGTTTAAAATAAAATGAGTACATTTCTTCTACGATAAAACAATGTCCTCTTATTTTACCTCAAGCTTATTTAAAGAAATCTAACAACATATTGAAACCTTGAAAACTTTTGTCATATTTCATGCAAAAAATGTCAATTCTGTTACCTTAGCTGTGACCCCAGGGCTGGAAGCACCAGCGGGGTTAGGAGGTCTGTGTGATACCAGGTCAAGTCTGGGTGGCACAGGAGGAAAAGAGGAATGCGGGGCCATGGACATGGGTGACGGAGGGCGCTCCACCTGGATTTAAACACAACAACAAAGTAATGGTAACATCTGAGCAGATATATTTGACAAAATCAGATTTTGTTTAGTCAACTTTTCATCATTCAAGTGATCCACATATGCTGAGGTGACTCAAACTTCTGTCAATCTTTAGCCAGAATTTACCACTTTCTAATTTGCCTGCGTTTCCATGGTAGACTTCACTGTTACTAAATGAAGGGTGGAAGGAAGAAACATAAATCAAAGAGTCGTTTTGTTTCAACACAAAATAGATAATCACACAAATCTTGACTCATTGTGTATGAAGTACTTCTAAGCACTTCACAGTGCACAGGTGCGTTTAAAGAAATGGTCAGAGATGTGGAAGAGGCGGAGTCAGCAAGTAAAGTAAAAAAAAATCCAAGAACAACATCAAAGTGTGTGTGATCTCAGGTATCCACCAACTGTATGAGCAGACTAATGCACTGAGTTTCTCCGAGGCACATAAAATATTGAGGAGAGGAGAAGGCCCCCACATAAAAAAAGGCTAAAAAAAGCTACTTTGGCACCTTGAAAGATGGATATGAAAGACTTGAGATATGAGCTCTGAGTTTGAAGCGCACAAAAATGAAAAGCCAAGGTGGCAGAGTCTTTCATCCGTGCAGGGATGGGTCTCTCAGTAAAACAGAGGAAATAAGAGGACAGCAGGAACCCATGGGGGCCCCCAGGGCATCAAATCAACTAAGCAGAGTGCACAAGAGTTTTATCAATGAAAAATACACAGAACAGCCCGTCCTGGAAACTCTGCAAACTTTTGTGTCTTTCAGTCAAAGATTTTCCAAATTCTCACTTTTGAGAAGGCAAGTTTGCTCATCATGAGGTGGGGATCTTCAAGTCTGTCGTCATCATCGTCATCATAGCTAGGTGAAGGAGCACCCTCAGCCCCAAAGTGGCTCCTGCAGGAGCCCCCGCTGTTGTCCTTAGGGTCAAAAGGATCCACAACAATGGGCTCTGTACCCTTAATCTCACAGCGACAGAAAGGACAGCCTGTTCCCTGACCCTCTGATTCCTGTGACACAGAGAGAAAGGCAGATGCAATCACTTCAAGCTTTTTATTACGTGCTTTTATTTTGCTGTTACATCTGCAGAGAAGGGCACGTCAACACTTGGTTATCCTCTCAACAGGTAACATTATAATACTTGAATTGGAGCAGCCAACCCACACAAACCCCTTTCCATCCACCCACTCCCGTACCTGCCAGGCAGTGAGACATGATGTGCACATGAGATGACCACAGGGCTCAATCTTCACATCTTTGTCGTTCTCGGCACAGATCTTACACAGCTGGAAAGTGGAGCCCATCTCACAGTACAGCTCATATTGCTCCTGGGGGAGAAATGAGACAACAGTGAGCTCTTGATGACTGAACACAGAATGTAACATCATACAGTGCTAACAGCACCTGAGATCATTTAGAAGAGCCCAGAAGGTTTTGGAGCGAAAATGTGGGGGCGTGTTTTTAGTTTCAGTCCTGTGTTGAAGCAGAAAAGAGTCTGCTCATAAACAGAAGATGAGACCTGACATTTTAGTGGGAAAACGGTTTATGTGACGTTAAAGGAGGTGACTCAACCAGCCGAACCATTCTGTAAAAATGATTGTATTTTATTATCTTCCTACGTAGCAGAAAGTTTTACATAAATTTTCCATGTTGTTTAATTGTGTACAGTCACATTCACTGCATGTTACAAAGGTCAGACATAAAACAGTATTCATTAAAAGACTTGCTAAAAGCTACTTAAAGGGAGAATATGCGACTTTTTGATCCAGTAGATGTCGCCCTTGAGCACCAGCATGAAACCAAAACAACTTGCGCTGCATTGTTGTGTTAGCAGGCTAATGCTAGCGATCTTTAATTAGGTCAAAGCTTCACACTACATGTAAATTTACACTAAATGACCGTGATCTAAAAATACTTACCGGTAAGTGACATTCAAATAAACAGTGAGTACAGCATGTTATTCTTCCTTTCTCCAATTCCGCAATTAAACAACTTTTATACTCAAGGTGATAAGACGGCCGGCCGTCCCGGCGATGTAAAAAACAAAGTGAAGATACGGCTTGGAAAGCTCGGGAAGCATCACGGACAGTGGGACTCAGGTGTCACACTCATTGTAGACCGTCATGACTCACAGAGTTATTTTCAGAGGATATATCTGATTTCTGCTACATTTAAGTGGGAAAAATCACATATTCTTCCTTTAACCATAACTATGTAAGTTCCTGTTTAGTATTCTACAGTGTCCTCTGCTTCTGCTTCCTTTGGTCAGGCACTGCACTGTTCTATCCTTTTTATCAAACTGAGATCTTTACTGATTGGTGTGACGGGCCAAAAAGAAAGACTTCTGACCTTTAAAATAAAATGCCAAACACCAGAAGGATGTGTAAGTTATTAAAGGCTGGTTACGGTCTGAGAAGCCCACTGGTCTGACCTGTGTGACTTTGATGTGGTCTTGAGGCGAAGGCTCACACAGTCCTGTCAGGTCTGGGTTTTGGGTTCGGCCATCAGGAAATAAATAGCTGGAGAGATGCAGAGGAAGAAAATAAATTAGAAGGTACTCACAGAAATGACTAGTGGCCTTGGGTGTTTCAACAAGCTTTTTCATTTCATCGTTTTCATCATGATTAGTTGGTGTGTTTAGGCTGCATGGATACCTATCAGGCTGCAGTAATGAAAACATCTGTTCATGCCATTCATTCAATCTGGCACCACATTTCATATCATCATTGTGCTGATGAGTGTATGGTATTATACTTTTACGCATGAGTCAGATGCTGTTATTACCATTCAACTAATGCTTGGTAGCGTTAAGGTTTTCCCAGTTTGAATTTTGATTACAGGTTGAGACAGGCCAACCATAGCTTTCATTAAACAGGAATCAACGCTGGCATAGAAAGATCGGTGACACGCTAGCCAGCTGAACCGCTGACTGAGCTGCACATCAGGAACCAACATTTCTATTCTGGTTATGATAACACTGAGATGATGGGAACAGGCAATATGATATGCCTGGATTGGTTTAGAGCAGAGAGGCAGATTCAATCATGGTATGCAAAGCAAGGCTGAATAGTTGACTCAGAGATCTAGGCTTCAGGAGAAGAAAAGGTAGTAAAAGGAAAAGTCATGCATATGACAGGAAGCTTGACTTAAAGATTATTCATTCAAACCACATCAATTGAAGACGACAGGGACAAAGAGCAGAGGGCCAACACTAACACTGAACCCCTCGAATACAATGCCAGCAGACTTACAATCCTTCCCTGAAGCCATCTATCAGGGCCTGGAAGAGGGGTTTGTTGTGGGGAATGGTTTGGAGTATGTTTCCATCCGCTGTCACATAGCCGATGGCCCACTGGCCCAGCCGTGTACAACTCAGTCGGAAGATGTAACTGAGAAAAGAGTCATGGGAAATACGACATCATTGGGTGAAGCACTCTTTGTTACACAGAGAAAAGAAAGAGATCAACTAACTTCAAATGTGTATAAGCCATTTGATGCATTGTACCAGAGTTAGCTTAGAGCTATTTTATTGGCTATTAGTTATTTTATTTTTACATCTGCAGTCCCTAGGCAGGTCAGAGTTGAAACATAATAATACATCAATAGAAAAATGAACTATAACAAACATAGCAGAGTATCCCAGAGTAGTACAACACACAAAAATACACACACAGAGTTATTGTTTAAAAAAAACAAAAAACAAGTCTAGACAAGCCACTCTACCCGGTCCTTAAAATTTCCAGCCTACTTGACAAATTTGCACAAAAAAATTACCAAATTGATATTTGGGGTGATTGTATTTCTGTTAAAAAAATGTTGTCTTAACGACTGCCGTATCAAAAGTACTGGTGGAAAGCTGCATACCGCTGGTATGTGAATCAGGAAGGCCAAAAAAGGGGAATTACACTAATTAATTCTAAGATGCATTTATTAGGATTTTAGTCAAAGGAATGAGTTTTGTGCTGCGTAACAGGCGGGGAGGGATTTCTATGTAATGACAGCAATCTAAATGCTTTTGGAACAGCTGCTGTGACCAGAACATAAAACGGTCAGTAAGCTGCACTGTAAGTAACAGCGTCAAAATCCTTCACTCAAATTGACCAATAACAGCTTGGATGTCAATGTGGCTCTACACAAGCCAGGCCAAAGAGTGACATCAGCTTTCAGCGTACAACCAGACCATTGATGCTATGTTCCAGTGCCATGCTGCCCTGGGTCCTTCACACACTAGCCAAGGTTTTTTTCTGCCACAAAATGAGGTGGTGGTGGTACCTTTCCTACCTTATGTGCATATGCACCACGGCGTTGCCAATTGGCTCAAAACTTTTACAAGCAATAAAGGGAATTTTTAAAAAATGTGTAAAAGAAAGGACAAAGCTCACATTAAAACATGATATATAACACTAATGTTTTTATTTCCATAGTTAAAGCAAATATTTTGAATTAACACTGTAATTCTTGTATTCTGGTGAAATTGTTTTTGTATTTTCCCTTTATTTTTGTAAAAGGAAAATGATTATAGTAAATAATATATATATGGTAATCCCTTCATGGATGTCACATTTAAGTGAGTTAACTCAAATTTATCCATTCACATTGAGTGTGATGAACACGAGACAAAGAGAGAGAAAGCTGTATTCCTACCTTAGAGAATTATAAATTAGCCAGATTTGAACAGTATTCACTGTCTTTAATTTTGCTGCAGTTAGAATCTTTTCCAGTGTCATTTTATGCTTAAATTCAAACAACAAATTACAGCAAGAGGTTATTACAAGCTGTGTGTCTGTTACCATGGACATGTGTCTCTTTCTTACCTGCCAGGCTTGTGGATAAACTTCTGTAACCGTGCTTTGACCTCATCGTAGGTGAGAAAGGCCATGTACCCCGGGTGAGTAACTGCCAAGCTGTTCCAGTTCCGCAGCAGGGACGACCAAGGCTACACACACACACACACACACACACACACACACACACACACACACACACACACACACACACACACACACACACACACACACACACACACACACACACACACACACACACACACACACACACACACACACACACACACACACACACACACACACACACACACACACACACACACACACACACACACACACGAGAAAATGAGAGAGTGACTCATCTGATGTGTGAGTGAATGGACACAGCAAGAACGGCATGAGCAGTGTAATGGAGAAATATACTGCTTCATGGGTGATGCTAACACAGCCGAACTGAGCTTCAGTAGGATTTTGTAATGGCTGTAAAGCAATGAAAAAAAAACGTTTCAAGCTAAATTTGCAGCATGTAATACAGCATGCGACTTATTTGGTACCATCTGAAGCCACAGAACGAGAAAGGAAAAAGAAATCTGAAATATGTAAAAATAAATATATAAAATAATTCAGACTAACGCAAAGCTGACTCAGTGTGGTGGTGAGTGGGTGGTTCTACAATTTCTCTCACCAGTTGGTCTGGTGTGTGACAGGAAGTAGATCTCACACAAACAAGACTGAAAATAAGCTGCCAAAGTCACAGCTTGTGTTGATTATGAACAGCAAGTGCTGTGTGTTAGATATGATGTAAAGACCCATATATTTATCGGGGAACATTTTCAGACACGAGCATAAAATCTTTATGTCATAGTAGCACATGTGTTTCTGATTTCATGCCAGTTTTATTAAAGACAATACATGACAGCAAACAAAAGTTGGGGTGATTCAGGAGTAGATTCCTCAGGACATTTGCTTAAAAATACGTGCAAAACTGTGTCATGCTCAAAATTTGAATGCGTGTGTGTACTTAAATGTTGTCTTATACGTTTAATGACGATTTCCTGGGATGAAAGCTAAGATACTGTGTCAGTTATTTTCCTATTAGTTTTCTTGAATATTTTGTGCTGACATCGCCTTTTTCCTTTCCCTGGTGCCTTGATTCAGCATTAGCTGACACATTCTTTATATAAATGCTGACTGAAATGCTCACATATTTAATGTACCTTTGTATAGGGAATTTTCATTAACCCAAAATGCTACACTGACATCACGTTAAAATGACAGCGTATCATGTTTACATTCTCTGATATTTTTTAGTGTGCTGCCTAATAAGCTTATAGTAAAAATACTTGAGAAAAAGGTGATTACAGTCATGTTTATTTCATTTTATTTTATGTGTTAAGAGCATCTGAAACCTCACAGCGGTGAATAATAATACCAACCCTCACAGGAGAGTGACATCAATAAGCTCCAACTTTCACTCAGTTACTTATTAGTAGAGAAATCAAGACTGACTTTGTTCTTTTTTCACACTTTCCTGTTCTCAGGACAAGTGTTGTTCTAGGTCAAAGCGCATGCATTGGTTAATATTTACACCACCTATTTGTGTGCAGCCAAGCATAAGGACCTTCTGCTATGATTACAGTAACGGTATGCCAAGTCACAGGTCAGTCTGCATGCACCATGGATCCCTCTGCTGATCTGTGGTTACAGCGCCCTCCCTGAAAACTATTTTTGGAAGTTTCCTTCAATTGACTCATTATTATTCCTGTACTCACATAATCTAGATAACATAATTACAGGATCAGCTACAGAAGGTCCAAGTCTTATGTTTAAAAGTTGTCAAATTGAAGCAGAGAAAAGTTTTTTAGCCAACAGACATTTGGAGCAAATGTTTACAAAAGTACTCTGGAAAATCCCAGTTTTTCAGGTTATGAACTCTGAAGTCACACTTTGAAATAGTGTCCAACATCGTCACTACTTCAAGAAATCTTGGGCTGCAGCAAATGATAATTAGCTTTTTCACCTAATCTGCTGATTATTTATCTGGAAATTTTCTTACATTTTTTTTTCTCCAAATGATTACCTCTCACAGATATACAGTACCTAACAAATATCAACTGATCAGAGCAAACAAGCGTTTTAAGTTCATAATCACCACACGCTTAAAGAAAGTGTATGAAATATTTAAAGGGCTTTTATTGGCAAATAAGAAATATGTCTCATGTTCAGCCTGTTTCATATCAGGACAGAGCTCAAAATGGCCACAAGCTCACTTCCTCCTCTAAGCTTAAGGACACTTAGAGGAAGGCCCTGTATGGGGGAGTGTCATAGGAAACGTCTATGATCTGTTTAGACTTCATTAAGCCTGTCTGTGTCTGTGTCACACAAGTAGCCCAAATAATGTCCCAGAGGGAATGAAGGACATACACTGCTCTAGAAAAGATATGACACGAGAGGTTTTAGAAAACTCCAATTCAAACAACGCTAAGGAATGTTTACATTTGAGTGGTAAAATATGTCAATGTTTTTTATTTGTTACAATGTTTATTACAGTACAAGTTCTGAACATGATGTCTGATAAGAACACCCTTTGCCCTCCCCTTACACTATCCTTTCTCTTTCTCCCTGGTGTTCTTCATCTCACTAGCTTATTTCTGATGAGGGAAAGAAGCTTTAAAGTTGCTGTGCAGCACAAGCAACACCATAAAATGCATTACGTTGTGCATTACCACAAGAAATAAATGCTTAGTACCCCTTTTTGCATGAGCAGTTTGTCAGAACTTTGGTCTATCAATTACAAAGTTGAGTTGAGTTTGGGTTTGGCAAAGGAAAACAACTCTAATTGAAAAATGTTCCAATCCAAAAGTTTATTCCTGTAACAGTAAAGTAAAACCTCAGGGGTGTTCATAAAATCAAGACTGTCCTTAAAAAGCATCTCAGTGTGACTCTCTGAAAAACCAAAAACTACAGACTGACCTTGTATGACAACAGGCATCGGATTGGGTCAGTAGAATTAAGTAAAGCATAGAGTGTGAAAAGGTCAGCATGCATTGTGGTATAAACTTGTTAGCCAAAAAAAGAAGTGGCCAGTTAGTTGAGTTCATTGTGGGCTACACAATCGAAAATGTGTTTCCTACATCAAGGCTAACACATTTTCTATGAATGGCTCTTTCTCTCTGTCTTCTCTACCGCTGTGTGTGTGTGTGTGTGTGTGTGTGTGTGTGTGTGTGTGTGTGTGTGTGTGTGTGTGTGTGTGTGTGTGTGTGTGTGTGTGTGTGTGTGTGTGTGTGTGTGTGTGTGTGTGTGTGTGTGTGTGTGTGTGTGTGTGTGTGTGTGTGTGTGTGTGTGTGTGTGTGTGTGTGTGTGTACTACCTGGAATAGCCTGGTAAAGATGTCAAACTCAAAGACAGAGATGTAGTCGTTGCAGGTGAGGTCAATGGTGGACTTTAGAGCCATGGCCTCCAGTCCGGAGCTGATTGGGTGAAACTCGTGAAGAGACTGACGGAACATCTTCCAGGGCACGATGGTCCTGTTACACACAACAACCCATGCAAATCAGATGCAAAAAACAGAACTCTTACGTCAAAACATTATATAGTATCTTCTAGGTAGACAATGGACGTGCAGTAAAGATGTAGTCACATGTCTGATTCTAAATTTGGTTACTTGGTCTTTTGCATGCTTCTTCTGTGCACCATAAATAATCTAAAAGCGATACAAACTGCATTTCCTGTTAAGAATGTTAAATTATTCACATGTGAAAAAAAGGATATGCTGTTTCTGGTCGAGGCTATTTTGGAGCTCCCAAACAGAAGTTGTCTGAGGTGTTAGTGGTCATGCATACTAGAGCTGATCTTTTTCTCCTGACAGCTAAAACATTTTCAAACAGATAGTCATCAATAAACTCAATCAATTACTTGCTTACTAAAGTACTTTCTCCAACAGTGTTTAAATCTATATCTTAAATCTACAACAGGTCATGCTATAGATTTAAGATGTATATTAAACACAGTTATCTGATAGCTGGGAATAATGAATGAAGTGTACATAGTCATGGGAAAACCCAGCTCTTAAAATGTTCTCACACTTCCTTGTTAGTGAACATTTTTTCTCTGACTGCACTCACAACCTTCCTATCAGTGTGCACTTGAAGACCTGAATTGTGTCATCATGGAACAACAGTTCTGACGTTAACATTTCAAGGACTTCTGTATTTGTGAACCAGCTCGTTGATTCAGATAATTCTTTCCTTAATGTAGTAATTACTAAATTACTAAATGAATCTAAGATGCCAGTTTGAAACCACTGAGGTAAACCAATGTTGTATGCTCATATAGTTATATTTATTCAGGCTCACTTTTCCCCGAAGGCTCGCCTCCAGAACTCCGCAGCATCTGCCTTGGTGATGCGAAAATTGTCCCCCTGAAACGTCCCACCGGGGAAGATGGCCTTCAGCTCTGCCAGCATGTGGCTGAAGATCAATGATAGTTTGGTGAGGTTTCGCCTGTAAAAGCAAAGGGGAGGGGAGGAGAGGGGGGATTCATGCCTTTACCATTACGCTGTGATCAAAGTGTCAACGGCATAAAAGATGCTTTAAAGAAAGAAATACAGATCCACAGTAATTATATATTCTCATTAGGTGTGATGATGTCCATGTTTAGAACACTGTGTGTATTACCAAATGAGTAGCATCAACCTGCAGGCTGGATGATTTAAGTGTTTGTTTTTCTAATCAATGCCATTTGCTGTAAACTATTGAACCAACAGTTTGACATTTGCGTCTAAAAAAGAGCATTACAGGAAAGGTTTTAACAGGCACAAGTGTTACCAAGTACACAGTCACAAATGAATAAATGAAGACAAAAAGAAGTTCCAAGAAAAACAATTAATAATTCATCATCACGTATTATATTCCAAAACTTGCCTGAAGTGCTATTAGCCATTACACTTGCTAATAATGGGGGAAATAACAACAAAATGGGATCTTCTATATTTTCTCTAGTATTGAAATAATGACAGAAAGTCATTGCCCATCCCGGTTTATGTCCCAGTCCTTTTTACTAGCCTGGTGTTTCCATATGTTATGACAAATAAAGGCAGGAGAGAAAGCAGTTTGACGCAAAATATAAAGATGATTTACAACATCCGTCCAAAAAAGACAAAATAATGCTGGCCGTAAAGCAGGGTCGCATGCTATCTAACAAAGCAAGTTCAAATTAGTGATTTATTTAAATCACTTTTCTGGTGTAAATTTTAAATTTCAATCTTTTCCAACTTTAATGTTCCAACTTTCAAGTTTTGTTTGAAAATATTTAAAAGCAGTGTCAAAATTAAAGCCGGCCTATTAACAGATGTTTTACGGTAGTTTTAATTTCTTCAGTCAGCTATTAGAGTAACCTATTTTTGATCAATCTTAGCCATATGTAGTAGTTCAAATCACTGATGGGACGTGGCTGACAATAACACTCAAATAATGATCTAAAATACTGGCTGCAAAAAGTAGAAAACGGCAATTCAGTAAAATCAACAAGCCACTTTTAAAGAGGATTGTAACAAGAAACTTACAGATATGTGACGTCTAGCTTTACATTTACTTGGTAGTCCTCTCACGATTTTTTGCCGTGCTTTGCTCGCAGTAAAATGTGGCGTACAATGTTTTTGTAATGCGTTGCCGGGGCCTGTCCTAGGGGTCTCGCGCCCAACTTTGGGAACCAGTGAGATGTATCACTTTATTCTTGTTTCACTTTGATAAGGATATCAGTCTCTAAAATATGCAGTCAAAAGAGGAGGGTCAGGATTGGACATAAGCCGGTAATATTGACATTTTACTCATAGCGTTGTATCTGCTCCAGGTTTTTTTCCCCACTGCAAACTGCCCCTAGCTGCCTTACAGAAACAGCCACAGGTCCAAAGGGGCAACACAGCAGTGTTCACATACTTAACGTACATGCAGACATACAGTGAGATGTAAGGGAATGGATATGCCTGTACCAAGTTTTGATCTCAGTAAGAAAAGGCTGTTCAATGCTCAAGGAGGGAAAAGGACTGATGACTAGCCGAAAAAAATAAATAGGAAGAGGAAAGAAAAAAGTGACATGGGAGGGTCAAAAAAAAAAAAAAAATCACCATACCCCCGGCACCCCATCAACATTCAGCGTGTTATGCTGAGAAAGCCATGATGTACGAGGCGACACAGAGGGAGATTGTGCTTAGCAGTTGGGCGGGCTGAATTGACATGCACAAGAGAGACAGCAATGAAAGCATGACTACACTGCAGCTGCCCCATACTACACTACGCACACTGTGAGTGGAGAGAGGGAAGGGGAGAGAGAGAGTGAATGAGGAAGGAGGATAGTCACTGAAGATGGATGAATAAGATTAGTGTATGTTGAGAAGCTGCCAAAATAGACCAGCCCTTGTGAGGATGATAGTTTACTTCAGAGGGAGCAGACAAGCATCTAAAAAGAGAAAATGCATAGCTCGCAAACTGCCATAAAGCGTTAATTCATACCCTCTCAGCAGTAAATGATCCTCAAACAGTGAACACTCTAGTAGCTTGGTGTCTAATCTTTTGAACTGTTCTACCCACTTCAAATCTACAGCACAAGACTTGAAGCCAGATGCAAGGACTGTAAGTCTTTGAAGTCAGGGCCACCCCTCATCAGTGATGCAATGTGGAAAATGAGACCTTCAAGTACTCCCTGAGGAGCTCGTGCAGACGCAGTCGGGAATGTCTTCTCTTTTTAGTGTCATCTCAGTGAAGGCAGGCGTTTGTGACACTGCATGTCTGTGTCTTTTTAGTCAGCAGCAAGCTTCTCAGCAGGAGGTCCCTCCTCTGTTTCTCCTGCCTCCTAACCCCACTGGCCTACTGAGCCTTAAAGCTGCAGTCTCATCCATTCTCCTGTCAGGCTCTCTCTACCCGTTTGCTTTCATCTAAGTTACAACAACCTTAGCTCCTGCTCTTCCTTCATCTACAATGTAATCACAAGAAGACAGTTATCCTCTCTCTGCAGTTTTTTTTATTTTGCATGGAATATATCGCTCCTCACTGAAAGCTTTCATTTCCACATCTACAGTAATTTGGTTTAGCATCTTATGAATCCATTTTTTCTCCCCCCACCCGCCCATCTCTCAACTTGAAACACTGATAGAGGTTGCTTAAGATTACAAGCTTATGATCCACCATGAAGTTTCATTCCTAATTCACCAGCCAATGCTAATGATACGTCTGAGGATTCTCACTTTGAGCCACAGTTCGCAGTAAAATGTTTGTGGTCCAAAGGGACGAAGCTCAGCTTGATAGACATGTTTTAAAAAGGCCAAAGGGCAATTAAAGCAGGTCTCTAAAAGTTTTTATGGCCAACATTCAATAAGTTGTAACTTTTCATTTCCCATCCAAAAGCAAACAATTCCATCAAGATTAGCCTGTCCAGCTTGCATGTAAAGGTGATCTCAGTTTGTAACGAGCAATGAGTAACAATTAACCAGCACAGGCTTGTGGATGTCAACAAGTAAGGAGACAGAAAGCTGGTGATGTTAGCACAGCTAATGTTAACCACATTTGGTGAACAAATTTAAAAAGGCTGCGTTCTGTGTTTAGTGTTAAATAAATTGTGCCCAATTTTGACTGTTTTCTGAGTGTTTTCCTTACCTTAAGTCTGAATTTAAATTTGTAATAAGTCGACAGGAAAACTAGTCACTGGGAACATCCCAAGATGAGCTTAAATTGGAGCGCTGGTTAAGCTCAGTTAGTAGAGCAAGTGCCCAATGAACAGAGGTTAAAGTCCTCGGGACAATGGGCGCAGGTTTGACTCCCTTTCCTGGTAATGTTTGGTGCATGTCATACACTAAGATTAAGATTTACTTTTATTGATCCCTGCAAGGGAAATTTCAGTTTTTACACTCTGTTTATCATGCAACACACACAGGCTGAAATATACACACATGCACACAAACAGGATCCTATGAAACATGCACTAATGGAGAGATGTCAGAGTGACGGAGCAGCCCACAGCGGGCGCTCCTGAGCTGGTGGTCGGAAGGGGGTTTGATGCCTTGCTCAAGGGCACCTTGGCAGTGCTCAGGAGGTGATCTGGCACCTCTCCAGCTACCAGACCAACTTCCATATTTGGTCTGCACCGGGAACTTGACCCTCCGGTTCCCAACCCAGGTCCCTACAGACTGAGCTACTGCCGCCCACTGCCGCTACTTTCTCTCCCCGTATTTCCTGTATGTACAGATGTCCTCTCAAAATGAAGGAGAAAAAAGACTAGCTCAAATTTGTGCTAGATGTGCGTTGTATCACTGCATCTATGAGTAAAGGCAAACTTAGCATGAAGAATGGCTCTTCTTCTTTCTAAAAGTTGAAGGAAAAAAACTATTGCTTTAAATTTCAGGTTGATGCAGAATATTTATTTACAAGAAGGATGCAGAACACAATACAAGCCATAAATGTTTCGTATTACCAGTATGAGCCATCTTCAGAATCTCCTGATATTGTAAGTGAGCAACAACCCATTAACACACTGCCACTGGTCACAGCTGTAGCACATAAAAAAACCCCATCATTGTGTAGTAGGACACATGGAGGAGGAACCGTTCATGCACAAGACTCGCACTGAAACCATCACGCCTGCAAAAGCACAGGAAGGGTCTCGTGTTTTGGTAATCGTGATGCTCTGTCAAAAAAAACTAAACAAATGTGTGACTTTACAAAAACCTGTGAAGTATGTAACAGAGACATAGAGAAAGATTGAGTTCTAAAAAGTGAACACTGGTCTGACTGGCATCATGCTCACAGAGCGGCACAGCTGTCTCTGGCATGAGATCTTCACAGTGAAAGATACTTTATTGTGTCTTTTTTGACCTTTTATGTAGAGAGATTTAACAGAGGACACAGAATATTACTCAGAAACTTCAAAGTAAAGTTCAATCTCAAACGTAGTAGCAGTACAAGTTGATTTAGCAAGTTTAGCGTTTCATCGTCTGTTTGTGTGTGTGTGTGTGTGTGTGCTTATCTCCATCCTCAAGCAGCAGCTCTGTGATCTGAGTGAGTGTCTGTATGTGCGTGACCTGGGCATGGGCCAGTGTTTATAAAACTGTTGCTGCTATTTAAGCGGTGCGTGGTTTGCTAATATGCTGAGGATTGACATGTGTCTTTAATGTTTCCTTTTCTCTCTCACTCCTCTGAACCACGACCACAGGAACAAGCCAAACCTCAAGTCAAACACTAGGTTTTTGTCCACCATCCCCCTCATGCTATAGATTGACCTCTGACCTTGCAGCTGGCTGCTCCCTTCCTGTTTCCTGCTGGCTGTGATAAAGTAGCGCAGCTAGCCAGCCAGCACCGTACCGCGCTAATGCACCACAGCACAGCCAGCTCGGGTCGACCTTACAGAAAGAGAGCCTGTCTGGATTAGCAAGAGTCACAAGTAGCTGTAAGCAGCTGTATTATTTTTTCTGCTCAAGGCTTAAAAGGAAAACCACATCAAACACAAATTGACC